CCTGTGCGATGGCCTGCACGTTCTCCAGATCTCACGCCACTGGACTTTTTCCTGTGGGGATATCTGAAACGAGTTGCCTTCGAAACACAACCAATGAATATTGACGATTTAACCCAAAAAATTTTAGAGGCTTGTCATACCGTTACTCCGGAAATGATTAGGGCTTCCTGTACTCGCGCGCTGATTCGGCGACTTGAAGCATGTGTGGCAAGTGCTGGCCAACATTTTGAACATTTTCTGTAGTATCATGTATCAAAATACAGATGACCTTAAACATTAATATTTCATTTGTGTTTTTATTTTCTATGATTCTGCATGTCATTCTACCTACCATGATACATCATTGACCGAGAAATGAAAAAGACTGTAAGTTGAACCAAAACAAACATGGGCGTGCCATTTGAAAAACAAAAGTTAGGGGTGGTTTCTTGGGGGTTGTTTACCAGGGGGTGGATTTTGCTATGCTGCATGAAAGTGCTTGTGTTCTCCTATGATATATATTTTTGTTTTAATTTTTGTTCTGCAAGTAACTGAGATATCTGCTGGCCTAAAAGCTCTGGGACATCCGGTGTATTTTTATATCCAAACCAAATCAGAGAATATTTGTAATCAAATGATGTTCATGCTATATGTTCAAACAGAGATTCATTTGGTTTGTTATTAAATCGTTTAGATCTGCATCTACATCTGCATCTACATCTGCATTTTATATTTAAACAGATCTGAATTAAGATATGTAACGTAATAGTACGAATAAAACATTATTATAATTGTATATGCCAAAGATTATTTGGAATAGATTATTTCGAAAAGTTAGTGATTGTTCAGCGTAAGTTGAGTTGCAGAATTTTTAGGAATTACAGCGCAAATTTTATAGCCCTCTCAGCTGCATTGGAAGTTATCCTGAAAATAAATGAAGAGAATTCGATAATAAATAAATAAATAAAAGAGAATCTCCAATTCGTCTTATTTTTTCAGATAGTCTTGAAATGTAAGGTATAACATTAGTTGTGAAAGGTGTCGGTGGATGTTGAGTCGGTAATTGTTTAGTTGGATGTTGTTGAATTCGTGAAGCTGTTTGTATGTTCATTTGGTTTTTAATTGACTCTTTATTTTCTATTGCATTTATCGTTGAATTTATGAACGAATCTATAGTCTATTTCAAAAGAGTGTAGAGTAATAAATCATGAAGTGTCATAAAATTTGCCTGAATTTCGTTGTCGTCCATGGGCGTAGGCAAATCTTAGGATTATTAAACTTAATAATTAAAGTAAATTAAAAATTACAGACATAGATAATAATAAAAGGCCATTTTTGGGAAGTAATTTGGTCTAAAACTAAGTACCTACATGTATTTAGGTAAGTAAAATTTCTTAAAAAAAGATTAAGATTAATTTTAGTGGTTCTTGTAAACTTATTTAATATGCAATTTGGGTTCATATACTTGAGCATGATTTCTCAAAAAAGGGTTAACACTTAGTTCCGAGGTGCCATGTCATTATAATAATCCCTTTTTGACCCTGCCCACCAATCATGCAATACCTATTAAAC